CCACCACGGGCTGTCCATCTTCATCCCATCTTGTGTCACTTGGCGCAGAAGTCTAGTAGCCGACCTTGTCCGTGAATACAGAGGCAAAGAAAGCATTGAGTACTTCAGCTTTCCCCACATCATCTTTCACTAGGTTACCTCCTTCATCCATTAGGGGCTGCACACCCTCTCTGATCACCTTCTTTTTAACATGCCTGTAGAAACCTTTCTTGTTATCCTTCACATCCTTAGCCAGTCGCAATTCCATCTGTGCTTTTGCCTTCCTGATAACCCCCCAGCATTCTCGAGCTATACATTTAAACCCCTCCCTGGTCATTTGTCCAAGTTTCCACTTTTTGTAAGCTTCCTTTTTGTGCTTAAGTTCACCAAGGATTTCCCCTGTAAGCCAATCTGATCTTTTACCATGTTTGCCTCTCTTGCTACGCGACACGATGGTTTCTTTCTGTGCCTTCAATAAGGCTTCTTTAAAATACTGCCAGCTGTCCTGGACTCCTTTCCCCTTCATGTTAGCATCCCAGGGGATTCTGCCCATCAGATCTCGGAGGGAGTCAAAATCTGCTTTTCTGAAGTCCAAGGTGTGTATTTTGCTACTCTCTTTTCTTCCTTGAGCAAGGGGAGGCTGGTACGAGTTTGCCAGGTCTCGGGAGCGGCTGCTCACACCTTGTGGGCTGTGCTTGTGGTTTTGCAGCAGGGAGGCTAGATGTGAGCAACAAGGCCAGAGACAGGACGAAGCTGCATTTCCTCCCTTTGCTGCTCTTATCTCTGCCCCCTTGTGTGTGTGTGTCCTGTTGTGTGTTCTAGAGAGGGGCCAGACTTCAACAGCAGGAACAATCACAGCTCAGCCTACCTAGGCACTCCCCTCTCCCCACCATACCACTCCCAGTTGAGAGACCACCCTCACCTCTCAGGCCACGGACCCGACGAGCCTCTTACATGGCTCGGCTGAGAGGTGCGCAAATACCTTCCTTAAGCTGACCTGAGCCAGAGCTGGCAGAGCAGCGAAGGGCCTGACTATGAACACAGGGTGTGCAGAACCACAGACCCCCGGGGTGAGACGGGACCGCACGGCTCGCCTGGTCTGACCCTGCCGCCATGCGGGACTGGCGGGGCCTGACCCATCCCAGACAGACGCTCTCCAGCCCCCTCTCAAAATCCTGCTGGGGTGCTCTGCTGTCCTGCTGCATCTACCTGCTCTGCTGGGACCCCATTGCCCCTGGCCCTGCCCCTGGGGCAGAGAGACCAGCTCGCTCCAGCTTGTTCCTGGCAGCCTCTTGTGTATCCGCAGCCTGCTGGCATGTCCCCCAACTGCGCTCCCCGCTGGAGCCTGGCCAGTTTCTGGACACTGGTGACCAATACCGGACACAGCTGCAGCTGGGGCCTCCCAGCACTGAGCAAAGCGGGACGCTCACCTCCAGCGACTTGTCTGCTCTGCCTCTTTGTACAGCCTGACATTGCATGGCAGGATCCCTTGCTGCCCTGTGTCGGGGCTGCGTCCCATCCCGGCTCCTTCCCCCCCGCTGGAGCCTGGCCAGTTTCTGGACACTGGTGACCAATACCGGACACAGCTGCAGCTGGGGCCTCCCAGCACTGAGCAAAGCGGGACGCTCACCTCCAGCGACTTGTCTGCTCTGCCTCTTTGTACAGCCTGACATTGCATGGCAGGATCCCTTGCTGCCCTGTGTCGGGGCTGCGTCCCATCCCGGCTCCTTCCCAGCACTGCTGCCGCCAGCCGCGTCTCCCCCATTCTGCCTGAGGCTCCTGGCTTTGCTCCCCTGAGAGGAGCATCTTACTTATCAGTAGCTGTGTTGGATTTCAGGGCGTTGTCCATGGTCAGTTCTCCAGTTCATCACGAGCCTGCTGAATTTTAGCTCTTTCCTCCAAAGTGTGGGCAAACTCCCCAGCTTTGTGTCATGTGCAAATCTGAGCAGACCGCTCTCCTTACCTACAGCCCGATCATTTTTATTAATGGTAAACAACAGCAGGTCTGGGACAGATCCCTGTGGAACGCCACTTGAGATCTCCCCCGACCAGACCGGCGGCAGCCGGGGACTATGGAACTGCTGGTCCCCTTAACGCTCCACCCTGGGGTGTTTCACGCAATGCTTTGCTAATGACAAGCAGCAACCCCCTCCAGGAGCAGCAATCACCCTGCACCAGGGCATGTGCAGCCCCACGCCCAGCTAGATTGCATGAATACTCCCAGAGCCATTCGTAAGGCACAACCAACCCCTGACCTTGCTGTAAGTTAGGCTAAGAGGAAGCTGCCTCCCGAATTTGGTGGACCTAGCTCTTACCATTTAGGACAGTGGTCACCAACCAGTAGATCGGGATCTACTGGTAGATCTTGGAGCCTCTGACAGGGGATTTGGCCAAGAGGGTACCAAGTGCCAGCACTTCAGCTGCCTCTCCCCGCACTGCCTGCACCTAGAACCCCCTCCTACATCCCAACTGTCTGCCCCAAGGTCAGGTCAGAGCCCCTCTCACACTGCAAATCCCTTAATCCAAGACCAGAGCTAGCAACCCAACTCACTGTCCCTGCCTGGTGAAAGGGGGGGAGGAAGGGAGATTGGAGTGAGCAGGGGAGGGGTCCGGAGAAGGGTCACAAAGGAGGCGGGGCAGGGGTATTTGGGTTTGAGGTAGATCTTGGATTGCACTTAAATTAAAAAAGTGATCTCATGCTTAAAAGGGTTGGAGACCACTGGTTTAGGAGGAGTTCTTGAACAACAGACCGATGGATGGACAGACAAACTCTCTCAAGTATATAGCAGACTTAATGATAGTTCCACCGAGCTCGATTTCTCTAGCTTATTGATCAGACTGTCCAGTGGGACTGCATTCCCCCATCCAGCACACCAGCTACCTTGTCAGAGAGGGAAATCAAGCTGGTTTGGCAGGATTTGTTCTTTGTGTAAGGAAGCTCTGTAGCCAGGCCAGATCAGATATAGAACATGCCGATCGGAGACAGTCAGACAAGGGGAGTTTTCTGCCAAACTCTCTCTGCAGCTAAGGAGCACACGGGATGCCGGCGCAAGGAAAGCCTTATGTATCACTTGAGACAAGCCGGGTGAAATCTCTTATTTAACACTTCCCAGTTCAAAGCCTGTAACTTCTCCTTTTCCTGTCTCTGTAAGGAAAGTTAAAAGGCAGCTGACCGGTGAGCTAGAGATGGTACGCAGCTGGTTCAGGCTTCTGCATGCCAATGTCTCCTTCCTCCCTTGTTTGCCGCTGTGTCATGCTGGGCAGGGCAGGCCTGTAAGTCAACGGACCCATTGATTCCCTCGGTGATTTCTGCGTACGTTACAAAATGGCTACGGGTACAAATGACTGACAATAACTCAGGGCCTGTACCATGTGGGAGCGGGACTTAGCCAGGTCTTCCTTTCTGGGCCACAAATTCCGTACGTGTACCTGCTGAATGGAGGCCACATTTGCAGACATGCACAGGTAATAAACGGGGGGAAGAAGATGCTTGGCTCCATCCAGCCCCTGAAGGGCTGCCTGAGAGCTGGACCTATCGCATGTGGAGCTCCCACACAGCCACAGCTCGGCCCTGGAGCCGACAATGCAGCCTGCCTTGAGACAGGCCCCTCACAAACAGCCCAGGGTGGTGTGGGTCTGCCGCAAGCCCAATGTGCAGGGCACGCAACTGTCAGCACAGCTGTCCAGGGACCCTGGCTCAGGCCTGTGTAGGCACCGGGCCATCGCCCCTGTCCCCCTACCCCGTGGCAGGGGTTTCTCCAGCAAGACTCAGGGGCCCTGGGACAGGCCCATCTGGGCACAGAGCCATTGCCCCTGCCCTCCCGCCCCATGGCAGGGAGTTCCCCAGGCCCCCAGAGAGGGTCAGGGATCCCGGTCTGAGCACAGAGCCATCGCCCTCCCGTCCCGTGGCAGGGAGTTCCGCAGGTCCCCAGAGAGGGTCAGGGATCCCGGTCTGAGCACAGAGCCATCGCCCTCCCGTCCCGTGGCAGGGAGTTCCGCAGGTCCCCAGAGAGGGTCAGGGATCCCGGTCTGAGCACAGAGCCATCGCCCTCCCGTCCCGTGGCAGGGAGTTCCGCAGGTCCCCAGAGAGGGTCAGGGATCCCGGTCTGAGCACAGAGCCATCGCCCTCCCGTCCCGTGGCAGGGAGTTCCGCAGGTCCCCAGAGAGGGTCAGGGATCCCGGTCTGAGCACAGAGCCATCGCCCTCCCGTCCCGTGGCAGGGAGTTCCGCAGGTCCCCAGAGAGGGTCAGGGATCCCGGTCTGAGCACAGAGCCATCGCCCTCCCGTCCCGTGGCAGGGAGTTCCGCAGGTCCCCAGAGAGGGTCAGGGATCCCGGTCTGAGCACAGAGCCATCGCCCTCCCGTCCCGTGGCAGGGAGTTCCGCAGGTCCCCAGAGAGGGTCAGGGATCCCGGTCTGAGCACAGAGCCATCGCCCTCCCGTCCCGTGGCAGGGAGTTCCGCAGGTCCCCAGAGAGGGTCAGGGATCCCGGTCTGAGCACAGAGCCATCGCCCTCCCGTCCCGTGGCAGGGAGTTCCGCAGGTCCCCAGAGAGGGTCAGGGATCCCGGTCTGAGCACAGAGCCATCGCCCTCCCGTCCCGTGGCAGGGAGTTCCGCAGGTCCCCAGAGAGGGTCAGGGATCCCGGTCTGAGCACAGAGCCATCGCCCTCCCGTCCCGTGGCAGGGAGTTCCGCAGGTCCCCAGAGAGGGTCAGGGATCCCGGTCTGAGCACAGAGCCATCGCCCTCCCGTCCCGTGGCAGGGAGTTCCGCAGGTCCCCAGAGAGGGTCAGGGATCCCGGTCTGAGCACAGAGCCATCGCCCTCCCGTCCCGTGGCAGGGAGTTCCGCAGGTCCCCAGAGAGGGTCAGGGATCCCGGTCTGAGCACAGAGCCATCGCCCTCCCGTCCCGTGGCAGGGAGTTCCGCAGGTCCCCAGAGAGGGTCAGGGATCCCGGTCTGAGCACAGAGCCATCGCCCTCCCGTCCCGTGGCAGGGAGTTCCGCAGGTCCCCAGAGAGGGTCAGGGATCCCGGTCTGAGCACAGAGCCATCGCCCTCCCGTCCCGTGGCAGGAAGTTCCCCTGGTCCCCAGAGAGGGTCAGGGATCCCGGTCTGAGCACAGAGCCATCGCCCTCCCGCCCCGTGGCAGGGAGTTCCCCAGGTCCCCAGAGAGGGTCAGGGATCCCGGTCTGAGCACAGAGCCATCGCCCTCCCGTCCCGTGGCAGGGAGTTCCCCAGGTCCCCAGAGAGGGTCAGGGATCCCGGTCTGAGCACAGAGCCATCGCCCTCCCGCCCCGTGGCAGGGAGTTCCCCAGGTCCCCAGAGAGGGTCAGGGATCCCGGTCTGAGCACAGAGCCATCGCCCTCCCGCCCCGTGGCAGGGAGTTCCCCAGGTCCCCAGAGAGGGTCAGGGATCCCGGTCTGAGCACAGAGCCATCGCCCTCCCGTCCCGTGGCAGGGAGTTCCCCAGGTCCCCAGAGAGGGTCAGGGATCCCGGTCTGAGCACAGAGCCATCGCCCTCCCGCCCCGTGGCAGGGAGTTCCCCAGGTCCCCAGAGAGGGTCAGGGATCCCGGTCTGAGCACAGAGCCATCGCCCTCCCGCCCCGTGGCAGGGAGTTCCCCAGGTCCCCAGAGAGGGTCAGGGATCCCGGTCTGAGCACAGAGCCATCGCCCTCCCGTCCCGTGGCAGGGAGTTCCCCAGGTCCCCAGAGAGGGTCAGGGATCCCGGTCTGAGCACAGAGCCATCGCCCTCCCGCCCCGTGGCAGGGAGTTCCCCAGGTCCCCAGAGAGGGTCAGGGATCCCGGTCTGAGCACAGAGCCATCGCCCTCCCGCCCCGTGGCAGGGAGTTCCCCAGGTCCCCAGAGAGGGTCAGGGATCCCGGTCTGAGCACAGAGCCATCGCCCTCCCGTCCCGTGGCAGGGAGTTCCCCAGGTCCCCAGAGAGGGTCAGGGATCCCGGTCTGAGCACAGAGCCATCGCCCTCCCGCCCCGTGGCAGGGAGTTCCCCAGGTCCCCAGAGAGGGTCAGGGATCCCGGTCTGAGCACAGAGCCATCGCCCTCCCGCCCCGTGGCAGGGAGTTCCCCAGGTCCCCAGAGAGGGTCAGGGATCCCGGTCTGAGCACAGAGCCATCGCCCTCCCGTCCCGTGGCAGGGAGTTCCCCAGGTCCCCAGAGAGGGTCAGGGATCCCGGTCTGAGCACAGAGCCATCGCCCTCCCGCCCCGTGGCAGGGAGTTCCCCAGGTCCCCAGAGAGGGTCAGGGATCCCGGTCTGAGCACAGAGCCATCGCCCTCCCGCCCCGTGGCAGGGAGTTCCCCAGGTCCCCAGAGAGGGTCAGGGATCCCGGTCTGAGCACAGAGCCATCGCCCTCCCGTCCCGTGGCAGGGAGTTCCCCAGGTCCCCAGAGAGGGTCAGGGATCCCGGTCTGAGCACAGAGCCATCGCCCTCCCGCCCCGTGGCAGGGAGTTCCCCAGGTCCCCAGAGAGGGTCAGGGATCCCGGTCTGAGCACAGAGCCATCGCCCTCCCGCCCCGTGGCAGGGAGTTCCCCAGGTCCCCAGAGAGGGTCAGGGATCCCGGTCTGAGCACAGAGCCATCGCCCTCCCGTCCCGTGGCAGGGAGTTCCCCAGGTCCCCAGAGAGGGTCAGGGATCCCGGTCTGAGCACAGAGCCATCGCCCTCCCGCCCCGTGGCAGGGAGTTCCCCAGGTCCCCAGAGAGGGTCAGGGATCCCGGTCTGAGCACAGAGCCATCGCCCTCCCGCCCCGTGGCAGGGAGTTCCCCAGGTCCCCAGAGAGGGTCAGGGATCCCGGTCTGAGCACAGAGCCATCGCCCTCCCGTCCCGTGGCAGGGAGTTCCCCAGGTCCCCAGAGAGGGTCAGGGATCCCGGTCTGAGCACAGAGCCATCGCCCTCCCGCCCCGTGGCAGGGAGTTCCCCAGGTCCCCAGAGAGGGTCAGGGATCCCGGTCTGAGCACAGAGCCATCGCCCTCCCGCCCCGTGGCAGGGAGTTCCCCAGGTCCCCAGAGAGGGTCAGGGATCCCGGTCTGAGCACAGAGCCATCGCCCTCCCGTCCCGTGGCAGGGAGTTCCCCAGGTCCCCAGAGAGGGTCAGGGATCCCGGTCTGAGCACAGAGCCATCGCCCTCCCGCCCCGTGGCAGGGAGTTCCCCAGGTCCCCAGAGAGGGTCAGGGATCCCGGTCTGAGCACAGAGCCATCGCCCTCCCGCCCCGTGGCAGGGAGTTCCCCAGGTCCCCAGAGAGGGTCAGGGATCCCGGTCTGAGCACAGAGCCATCGCCCTCCCGTCCCGTGGCAGGGAGTTCCCCAGGTCCCCAGAGAGGGTCAGGGATCCCGGTCTGAGCACAGAGCCATCGCCCTCCCGCCCCGTGGCAGGGAGTTCCCCAGGTCCCCAGAGAGGGTCAGGGATCCCGGTCTGAGCACAGAGCCATCGCCCTCCCGCCCCGTGGCAGGGAGTTCCCCAGGTCCCCAGAGAGGGTCAGGGATCCCGGTCTGAGCACAGAGCCATCGCCCTCCCGTCCCGTGGCAGGGAGTTCCCCAGGTCCCCAGAGAGGGTCAGGGATCCCGGTCTGAGCACAGAGCCATCGCCCTCCCGCCCCGTGGCAGGGAGTTCCCCAGGTCCCCAGAGAGGGTCAGGGATCCCGGTCTGAGCACAGAGCCATCGCCCTCCCGCCCCGTGGCAGGGAGTTCCCCAGGTCCCCAGAGAGGGTCAGGGATCCCGGTCTGAGCACAGAGCCATCGCCCTCCCGTCCCGTGGCAGGGAGTTCCCCAGGTCCCCAGAGAGGGTCAGGGATCCCGGTCTGAGCACAGAGCCATCGCCCTCCCGCCCCGTGGCAGGGAGTTCCCCAGGTCCCCAGAGAGGGTCAGGGATCCCGGTCTGAGCACAGAGCCATCGCCCTCCCGCCCCGTGGCAGGGAGTTCCCCAGGTCCCCAGAGAGGGTCAGGGATCCCGGTCTGAGCACAGAGCCATCGCCCTCCCGTCCCGTGGCAGGGAGTTCCCCAGGTCCCCAGAGAGGGTCAGGGATCCCGGTCTGAGCACAGAGCCATCGCCCTCCCGCCCCGTGGCAGGGAGTTCCCCAGGTCCCCAGAGAGGGTCAGGGATCCCGGTCTGAGCACAGAGCCATCGCCCTCCCGCCCCGTGGCAGGGAGTTCCCCAGGTCCCCAGAGAGGGTCAGGGATCCCGGTCTGAGCACAGAGCCATCGCCCTCCCGTCCCGTGGCAGGGAGTTCCCCAGGTCCCCAGAGAGGGTCAGGGATCCCGGTCTGAGCACAGAGCCATCGCCCTCCCGCCCCGTGGCAGGGAGTTCCCCAGGTCCCCAGAGAGGGTCAGGGATCCCGGTCTGAGCACAGAGCCATCGCCCTCCCGCCCCGTGGCAGGGAGTTCCCCAGGTCCCCAGAGAGGGTCAGGGATCCCGGTCTGAGCACAGAGCCATCGCCCTCCCGTCCCGTGGCAGGGAGTTCCCCAGGTCCCCAGAGAGGGTCAGGGATCCCGGTCTGAGCACAGAGCCATCGCCCTCCCGCCCCGTGGCAGGGAGTTCCCCAGGTCCCCAGAGAGGGTCAGGGATCCCGGTCTGAGCACAGAGCCATCGCCCTCCCGCCCCGTGGCAGGGAGTTCCCCAGGTCCCCAGAGAGGGTCAGGGATCCCGGTCTGAGCACAGAGCCATCGCCCTCCCGTCCCGTGGCAGGGAGTTCCCCAGGTCCCCAGAGAGGGTCAGGGATCCCGGTCTGAGCACAGAGCCATCGCCCTCCCGCCCCGTGGCAGGGAGTTCCCCAGGTCCCCAGAGAGGGTCAGGGATCCCGGTCTGAGCACAGAGCCATCGCCCTCCCGCCCCGTGGCAGGGAGTTCCCCAGGTCCCCAGAGAGGGTCAGGGATCCCGGTCTGAGCACAGAGCCATCGCCCTCCCGTCCCGTGGCAGGGAGTTCCCCAGGTCCCCAGAGAGGGTCAGGGATCCCGGTCTGAGCACAGAGCCATCGCCCTCCCGCCCCGTGGCAGGGAGTTCCCCAGGTCCCCAGAGAGGGTCAGGGATCCCGGTCTGAGCACAGAGCCATCGCCCTCCCGCCCCGTGGCAGGGAGTTCCCCAGGTCCCCAGAGAGGGTCAGGGATCCCGGTCTGAGCACAGAGCCATCGCCCTCCCGTCCCGTGGCAGGGAGTTCCCCAGGTCCCCAGAGAGGGTCAGGGATCCCGGTCTGAGCACAGAGCCATCGCCCTCCCGCCCCGTGGCAGGGAGTTCCCCAGGTCCCCAGAGAGGGTCAGGGATCCCGGTCTGAGCACAGAGCCATCGCCCTCCCGCCCCGTGGCAGGGAGTTCCCCAGGTCCCCAGAGAGGGTCAGGGATCCCGGTCTGAGCACAGAGCCATCGCCCTCCCGTCCCGTGGCAGGGAGTTCCCCAGGTCCCCAGAGAGGGTCAGGGATCCCGGTCTGAGCACAGAGCCATCGCCCTCCCGCCCCGTGGCAGGGAGTTCCCCAGGTCCCCAGAGAGGGTCAGGGATCCCGGTCTGAGCACAGAGCCATCGCCCTCCCGCCCCGTGGCAGGGAGTTCCCCAGGTCCCCAGAGAGGGTCAGGGATCCCGGTCTGAGCACAGAGCCATCGCCCTCCCGTCCCGTGGCAGGGAGTTCCCCAGGTCCCCAGAGAGGGTCAGGGATCCCGGTCTGAGCACAGAGCCATCGCCCTCCCGCCCCGTGGCAGGGAGTTCCCCAGGTCCCCAGAGAGGGTCAGGGATCCCGGTCTGAGCACAGAGCCATCGCCCTCCCGCCCCGTGGCAGGGAGTTCCCCAGGTCCCCAGAGAGGGTCAGGGATCCCGGTCTGAGCACAGAGCCATCGCCCTCCCGTCCCGTGGCAGGGAGTTCCCCAGGTCCCCAGAGAGGGTCAGGGATCCCGGTCTGAGCACAGAGCCATCGCCCTCCCGCCCCGTGGCAGGGAGTTCCCCAGGTCCCCAGAGAGGGTCAGGGATCCCGGTCTGAGCACAGAGCCATCGCCCTCCCGCCCCGTGGCAGGGAGTTCCCCAGGTCCCCAGAGAGGGTCAGGGATCCCGGTCTGAGCACAGAGCCATCGCCCTCCCGTCCCGTGGCAGGGAGTTCGGGGTGGGGGTTGGGCTGGCTGTGGGGGAAAGTGAGGGGCCAAGGTGAATTTGGACACCGGGGGAAGGGGTTGAGGTGAAGGTGGGGGGAGGGCATGAGCCAGGCCTGCTGTGCCATTGCCCCCCTGCCGTTGCTGTGCCATCCCACCCCAGAGTAGACCATGGGCTGCACTCGCCTGCATTGTGGATATGCACACCAGTCCACCTTTCCCATAGCTGCAAGGCTGGGGAGTAACCTCGGAGACCTTAAGTCAGGGGTGGGGAACCATTTTGGGGTCAGGGGCCTCTGACCCACAGAAAAATGAGTTGGGGGCTGCACAGCTGTGAGAAACAAAATGAGAAACCCCTGACAGAGGGAGAAAGACACTCCTCACGTTCTGCTTGCACACCAGAGCCTGGGGGAGGAGGGGCAGGCTAGTAAATGTGTGCTCCAGCCCTGCGGGTGGGTGGCAGAGGGGCTGGTGCCCCAGTGAGGGTTCCCCAATGCTGAGCCTCGGTGGCCAGATCCAGGCAAGCCGGGGACCTGTGGTTTCCCACCCCTGCTGTAAATCCTTTGGGGCTGGGCCTGCCTCTGTGCTGTGTGTGTAGAGATTAAAGAGACTGGTACATTTGGGTTTAGAAAAGAGATGACTAAGAACAGCCACTTTGGGTTAGACCTATGGCCCACCTAGCCTAGTATCCTGAGTTTGAGAGGCCTGTGTCAGATGCCACAGTGGAAGTGAACAGAACATGGCAATTGAGTGATAGATCCCCTGCTGTCCAGTCTCTGCTTTAAGTAATTGGAGGTTTAGGGATACCTGGAGCATGAGGTTGTGTCCCTGTTTGTATTGAGGGGATACGATAGAGGTCTATAAAACGGTGAATGGTGTAGAGAGAGTGAATTTAAAAGTGTTATTTACCCCATCACATAATGTAAGAACCAGGGATCATCCAATGAAATGAATAAGTATCAGGCTTTAAAAAAAATGAGGGGCTAATTCACACAACACACAGTCAACTTGTGGAACTCTCTGCTGGGGGATATTGTGAAGGCCAAAATTATAACTTGTCTCAGAAAAGAAAAGTCCATGGAGGATAAGTCTATAAATGGGTATTAGCCAGGATGGGCAAGGATGCACCTCCATGCTCTGGAAGTCCCTAGCCCTCCAACTGCCAGAAGCTGAGGCTGGAAGATAGGGAATGGATCATTCAATAATTGCCCTGTTCTGATCACTGCCTCTAATGTGTCTGGTCCTGACCACGGTCAGAGACTGGGTATTGTCATCTCTATCAGTTTTCCAATTCCCAGAGCTTCTAAGGAAGAAGGAGATGACGGGACTCGAATTTCTTGTGAAAAATAAGCCTCTGAGCTTTTCTTGAGAAAGGGGCAGGTGGGACCCATCCCCTCTCAAGCCATCCTAGTCCTTCATAGAGACACAGAAAAGGACACGAGCCCATACTTTTCCCTTTGCCAGTCATCTTTCATATGCTGAAGCAATGTCAGGATTATAGATCCCAGCATGCATTGTTCCATCATTGAACTATGGAAGAGAATTGTATGCTGGGATTTGTAGTTATTGTAAGTAGTCCTGGGATTGCTTGCTATGAAACACAAAGCCCTTCACCCTATATGTGATATTTTAATCCAGATTTTGTTTCTATAGCATCTCTTTTGTTGGGTCCCTGTTCCCTACTCTGATTCAAATAATAGTTTGATGATGGCCCATCTCTTCTAATTTGACCTTGCAGTGAGATTGTGACTCACTGTGTGTGCTGCTGCAGGAGCTCCTGTGATTGGCAATGCATGTGATGTGCCTATGGGATCTGGCAGGAGGAGAAGCTGGACAGAAATTCCTGGGCCAACCACAGAGATTTCTGTGGTCACCGTTGACATGCCCATCTTGTTTCTCTGGTAACCAGGAGTGCATTTTTTATTTAAAAATGGAATAGCAACTGCATGAAAAATGGCCAAAGTAGTGTCTCCTCTGGGCAGACCTTCATTCACTCCTGTAATGAGAGATTTGTCTAACACCTAATTTATGCGTTTCACATGGAAGGAGCTGGGACCAGGCATCAGTCGCTATGGAATTATGCTTGTGTTCGGAGTTGGTTTGGTATCATCAGCTGTAGGCCTCAAAACTAGTGTGATCCAGTGGGGGAGGGGAACTGGAGCATAGTCTCTCCAGGGAATGGGGTCTGGTGGAAGTTGTGCTCTTCTTTTGCTGGAAGTGCTGCTGTCTGAGCCTGTTTGCTCTCTTGCAGGATGGAGGGCTCTGGGGATCTTGATAGCAGCCTCTTGACACAGCCTTGGGCTTCAGTTTGCTTTGGCGAGTCCACTTTTATTGCCAAGGCTTGTTTCAGAGATACGGGCTACGTCTTGTTGATCTCTGACCTCAGCAGTGTGTGGTATGAACATGCGGACATTGATGTCGTTGGGAAAAGGTCCAAGGTGAGTCTGGCATGAGGTTTGCAAAATCCACAAACTCCCTTTTATGCCTAAGCCAGCTAATGTTCCAGCATGAATTTACGGGACATGCAGAGGATGGGTGGCAGCTTCAATAGGAATAAGGGAGAAAATCTTGATGTGGGAAGCCCTAAACAGGGCAGCTGATTCCTCTCTATTCTGACCTACAGGCTGTCTCTAGACTACATCCCTTTTCCGTAAAAGGGATGCAAATTAGACACATCGCAATTGAAAATGAAGCAGGGATTTAAATCCCCCCCGCTTCATTTGCATAAAAATGGCTGCCGCTTTTTTTCCGGCTCGGAGCTTTGCCGGAAAAAAGCGCCAGTCTAGACGCGGATCTTTCGGAAAATAAAGCCTTTTCCGAAAGATCCTTTATTCCTCTTAAAATAAGGAATAAGGGATCTTTTGGAAAAGGCTTTATTTTCCGAAAGATCCGCGTCTAGACTGGCGCTTTTTTCCGGCAAAGCTCTGAGCCGGAAAAAAGCAGCAGCCATTTTTATGAAAATGAAGCGGGGGGGATTTAAATCCCTGCTTCATTTGCAATTGCGATGAGCCTAATTTGCATCCCTTTTACGGAAAAGGGATGCAGTCTAGACACAGCCACAGTGTTCCCTGCTATGCTAGTCCTGGCTTCTGTACCCAATCTCTGCTGATGTTCTCTCAGTCCTGATCTGTTTTTGGAGGTACAAAGCCAGTGCACTGGCATCTTCCTCTGGCAGCCTGCCCTCCTTCCCTCTGTCTTTCTAGTGGTTGTGATGCTGTAGAATTAGGGGTGACCATCAAGGGAGAGGCTGCTGTTAGTTTTAGTGGACACATCAGAGGCTACCAGCAGCTTCCTCATCAGGACTACAGGCAGTCCCCGAGTTACGCAGATCCGACTTATGTCGGATCTGGACTTACGAACGGGGCTTTCTCGCCCCGGAGCTCGCAGGCAGCGGGACCGCCCAGAGCGCAGCGGTCCCGCCACCTCGACCTCCGGGGCGAGAAAAGCTGCTCCGGGTGCCCCTGGTCTGCTGGGGACCGTCTCCAGCAGACCAGGGACACCTGGAGCAAAGCCGGGGAGGCGGAGGGGTCCCGCGCCTCCTGAGGCTTTGCCAGAGCAAAGCCTCA